TTACTCTTACTCTTACTCTTACTCTTACTCTTACTCTTACTCTTACTCTTACTCTTACTCTTACTCTTACTCTTGCTCTTGCTCTTGCTCTTGCTCTTGCTCTTGCTCTTGCTCTTACTCTTACTCTTACTCTTACTCTTTCTCTTTTCTGCTGCAAGCATTGAATTACAATTCATATGAAAGATACTTAATCGAGAATTTGCAAGATATTTCGATTATGTTTGTGTGTTTGTGCATTCGGAAATACACAGTCTTCGTGGTCCGCCAATTCCGAAACCCAGTTGGGGGCTTCCCTCGTTCGATGCAAGAGTGACGGAAGGAGAGACACAGCACGACTCGCAGTACCGATAATGCATGATAGAGTTGTCATCACGAACAGCATCCTGTAAGTAACTTGCACTCTTTGGGAATACTTGCACCTTTCAAGTTAAGGTTCATCTCTGGTACCCCGAATGTCCTTAGTTTAGCGCAAGACGTGCCTTTTGCAGCCATGGCAGCTGGGAAAAGGAAAGCTTCCAGCAAACCGAGCCCCGAGACCAAAACCGTTCAGGCCGTCTGTGGTCTTTTTTTGGATCAACCGATGCCAACGCCTCGAAAGGCCAAAAAGTTGAAGACAACTTTGACGGTGGAGGACGCGAAGGCTCCCCTGTCAAGCGCACAAATCGCAGGGGTTTTGCCGGCATGTGCTGACCAGAGCCTGAATGATAGGCATATTTCGATGAACACCACATCAAGGCAAAGGGCTCTTCGCAAAGCAGCGACTCGAGGATATGACGTGGACTCCTTGAGGTTCATATCCCTGAGGGGAAGGACGCGCAGCCATGAATCCAGAGATGTCGCCAGCCTTGGGCAAGCCTTGGGCCAGGACATTGACATCACGCCACTGGCAGGCTTTCACTTCCAAGGCTTTGCGAAGCGCTTGATCAGGCACGCAGCGTGCACGCAAAAGGCAGCCTGCTTCTTCTGCGCATTCCTGCTTTTTCCGGGCGGATGCCAAAGGTACTGCCAGAGCAAGTATGAGAATCCCACACCCATCCAAGTGCACCGCCGAGAACTGGCCGATGGTTGTGTAAAGAGATGTCTCGTCGCCGAATCGGAAGAGCTGTGATAAGGCGTGCACTTGGCCGTTAATCATGCAGATCCGGGCTCAGCCGTGGTGGTTGTGCGCTGGCAACGGGTCTTTCGAAGTCGAAGTCTCAGGAAAAGCGATGTGTGTGGAATCGCCAAGTCGGCAACTCAGCAAGGGTGCGAGTGCCCCAAAGTCTTGTGGGGCAGTGCGCTTTTTTGCTCAGGACTGGCAGCGGAAAGACCCTGGCCTTCGCTCTTCCCTACTTGTCCATGTCGAGGTGTGGGGATGTGTGAGCTGAGGAGCAGTTGTCTTTTCCTTGCGTGCTATCAGGCTTGGAGTGCTGGAGGTCTTCGAGCAGCCCTGCGCGCTGCCGCGCTTCGTGGCCTTGGCACCCACGAGGCGACCGGGGTTTTATAAGAAAGCTTTCTTGTTTGTCTTCCGCTTGCAGTTCTTGCGTCTGCAGGGAGCTCGCGATGCAGATTGCGGAGGCCTGACTATCCGCCACTCGCCCCTATCCGCTCCTGCTGCGTCTGCACTTTTTCGACTCTGCGAGGTCTGCGCAGATCTTGTGAAAGCCCTCACCGCAGGCGAGGAGGTGCCTTGCCCTTTGCCCTGGCGAAGCGGTCTCTCCAGAACTGAACCTCAGATGGATACACAGGGGCTGTACCCGGTGCAGTGCATCTACGGTGGTGTTCCCAAGAGAGATCAACGACAGGCATGGGGCGCGGGGGGGGGGGGGGGGGTAGCATGGGCAACCAAGACTGAGTCAAGTCACCATCTTCTGGCACAGGCGATTTCCCAGACGGGCATTGATATGGCCATTTGCACGCCCGGACGCTTGCAGGCTTGATCATCTACAGAAAAAACCCTCAGCCTTAGCTTTTGAAGCCCTGCATACCTTGACCACCTTGACCTGCTCGGTGCAAGGACCTGGTGGAAGAGGAGACGGTGGACTTGAGCTCCGTGTCCCAGGCTCAGCCGGTCGGAGGGTCGGAGCGCATCAGCGCAGCGGCAGCGAAAACCCTCTCGTCTCCTTCTCAGGCAGTACCTTGTGCTGGACGAGGCGCTGCCATTTCGCAGTGTCCCGTGCCTGCCGTGCCTGTGTCTCTCTTGTGGCGTTTCTGGGACCTCCGCTGCTGGTGTCTTCTGGGCTCCCAGCATGGCAGTGGAAAAACTTCGAAAACGCATAGCGGCATGGCCTGCGGCATAGCCTGCGGTAGCTTTGTCTTGCCAGGTCACAGCTCTTCACAGTTAGCGACACCACTGCTAGCAGATGAAGTTGCCCTTTGTCCTGCTTCGCGTCGGAAGCATTGGCCAATGCAGCAGGTCCTGCATAGTCCGTGTGCCGAGAGGAGCTTGTTTGCTTGGCTGTCTTGTAGTTTTATTGCATGCAAGTACGAAGCTAGAGTTAGAATGTTCACCGTGATTCGCAGGTGATGTCTGTCAGTGCACCTGCGCCGTGGGAGCCCGGAGGCGTCTTTGTCATGACCGAGTCATGACACAGCAGACCAATGACTCAACTCTGTTTGCCGACAGAGTTTGCAGAGCTCTGATAGATGTAACAGCGAATGAAAAAACCTCTTCTTGTGTGCAGAAACGTAGGTTGGNNGAGCAAACACATGGCATCGATTTTGGACAATGTACACTGTGGGTGTGCCATTGTGCTGACGAAGTTTCGTGCGTCCCGCATAAAAGAACTCTGCATGCATTGTGTGTGCCATAGAGAATCTTTACTTCTTTCAGGTGCTTCTCATCCCGAATAGATCACCTGTCGAACCCACTGTCTTAGACGGTGAGTAGCCACTGTTTCATTCTGAATGCCCTCGATAGTTCTTGTGTGCAGAAACGTAGGTTGGTTGGGTAGGGCCCTTTCTGCTGCATGAACTCATCAGGCATCGGACCTGTAGCTTTTGGGCCCGAGGACTCCAACAGCTCAGGTTAGCTTTTCCCTTGAGCCATGGATGCTGGCTTGAGTGAGCTGATTGGGGATCGCTCGGTGCTCAAAACTTGGATGTCTGAGCTGGGAATCACATCCTGCAGTGATGTCCGTTGGTTCTGGTCAGATGTCAATCATTGCATGTGTGAACTGGAGTCTGCTGCCGGTGTGACGCGCGAAGATATCCTTTACATGCAGGACTTATATCAGACGTGCTGTGCCAGAGCAGACTTGGAGCAAGGCCAGGCAGTGAGACATATTGTGGCCACCAGAGATGTGACACGGAAGGATGTCGTTTCTTGGCAGCCTCGAGTAAACTTGCGTCCTGCTAAACGGGCCAAAGTTTTGATACCCTGGCGACAGTCCTCACATGTTAGCCTGCCGGTGGTACATGATGTGGCCCTTCCAGTGCGGCCTCCGATGGTTCAAAAGAAACTGCGAGAGTTGTTCAAGCTGGCAGCAGATCACTTCATTGACTTCGAGGCTCTGGGCATGCCACCTGTTGACTGGAATGATGAGTCTAGTGTGGCGACTGCTGAGAGTTTGGTCATGTCTTCTGCAGCCCGGTGTAGCTCGGGCCACCTTTCGCAAGTTACCTCCTGCTTGCGTCGTTGGATTAA